GCAGCGGGGCTCCCGGGGGGCTGGGCCCGGGGGTCACTGTCCCTAGCTAGGAAGGAGCCGGGTTCAGCGCGGTGGGTCCCCTTTGTTCCATCTGGGTGTCCGGAGCAAGCCGAAGACCGGGGCGCTGCATGCGTTTGTCGCCAGTCAGGCCTGCGGTGCCCGGGTTCTCTGCTGGGTGGCCCTGGGGGAGCGTCCCAGGGCCTCGCCTGGCCCTCGTAATTGCAGAGGCGGGGGTTGGCTAGGTTGCAGTTCAGCCGGTCTTGCCCTTTTTTCCTTCCCAGCTTTGGAAGTCGGTAATGGCAAGTCTTCTTTGTAACCCTCTGTAATACTTCACCAGTCAGATCAAGTGTGATGTTGTCTCTACCATGTAGTTTCCTGTGACAATTACCCCTTTCTCCCCTGTCCTCCCATTGGTTGTGTGTGTTAGGAAGTCGCACAGCCTCATTACAGATCTGCAGAGCTGTGTCTCTTCAGTGTATCTGAGAAACTGACATGCACGCTATATATATATATTTCAAATAGGTATCTCAGAGTAGTTCTGTTCTGGTCCTATACACTGAGTCCCCTTAACAGTTGGGGACATATTTGGTGTGTTCCTGGAGTGCATCTTCCAGTTTAGTTTTAACCAAAAAAATTGGTTTTGTACGCTCCAAGACTGCACCATGACGCTACCAGAGCATGGTAGATAGGTGCTATCAGGAGACTTGCTTCAAAAAGTGAAATCAAGGTGTGAACTAGTATGTTAACAGTAGACTCGGCCTTTGTGGACCACCTTAAAATAAGAGGATTTGTACAATTTTTCCTTCTGTAAATGATCCAGTGGAGTTCTTTGTTTTGGCAACGAAGATGACTTGTGAAATGATGTTTAGAGTTTGTCTGAACGTGGATTAGCGTTACAGCATTCCTATAAATCTGTAAATCTATTTTTACTTGTAGTATAGCACACTGAATCTTTGTTTCCAAGGTTACCAAGATTAATAGGTTATTGATTCTGAGTGGATAGTTCTATTTTCATATATTCCAATGTTTCTTACTTGACCAAATTAACCTTTCAGTTAGCCACTACTAAATGTCATGGACATTGACTAATAGCAAATTGGAAAGGACTGTCGTGGTGTCATGGTGACGTTTTGTTTAAGAAGCTGTTGTGAGTGGGTGTGTCCCTTAACTTGTTTCCTTGCAGGGGTAACTCGCATGAGAACAGTGTCATCCACGCCTACTGTCCCCAAGTCAAAGTTGTGTGGTCCGGTGTAAACAAAGATAAGATGCAATCCCACGTTTGTTGTGATATCAAAAAAATTGACACAACATTAATCTAGGAAACCTTAAAATCTCAATCTTAACATTGAGTATTTTCTCATGGAATAATAAAGATTAAACCTATTTTCGTTGCTAGTGTGTTATCTGCAACTCATCTGAAGCTAAGCTTCCAGTTTGATAATGTTCCCAGATTAGTCTGCTGTTCTGGCTGTAGGTTTGATCTCTAATCTCAAGCAAGATACGAGAATGCCTCAGTGTCTCTCAGCTAACAGATGCATAAAGTCCCAGATATCCTTCATTTCCCCAAATAAAAGAATATCTGAAACTTAAGTTCTTTTGTTTAAAGACTTGTAGCCCTGTGTGCAGCAACAGCTAACTTGCAAAAATGGCATTTAAGACGGCGCAGATGAATGTGAAGCAAGGATCCATGCTCTCTGAACGTGGTGGTTTTGTATTGCAGGTGCATAGGAATGGAAGCAGCCATTACACAGAATTACATATTCTGCTCTAATGGTTTTGGAAGTTTTATTTTTTGTTGAACATCACTTTATTAGTGGTGCTAAGTTCAAATAATGCTCCTGGTTGAGTACTGCTGTTGGCAGTGATCATTTCTGCTATTTTGGAGCTGTATACCATTCTGAAGTGGCTTTGTTTTCGTTTGTCATGTAAAACGGATAGTTTGGGAATCCTTGCTCTAGAAAAGAAGATTCTATAGGAATCAAACCCTGAGTGACCTGTATCGGTATTCCTTATCCTAATAGATTTTTTCCTGAATATTCAATCATTTTTGCAGCAAAGCAAGCTGATTCAGCAGGATACAAAACATTGGATAACAATATGTTGTGATTTTTTTAATTTGTTTTTATGCTGTTTTCTCTGTTCTACCCCATCTGAGTCCATTTGAACTCTGTTAAACACAGTAACCCCGTTCCCATCTCTCCCTGACTCAAAAAAGGATGTCCACGTGTTTGTGGCAGCTCCCTGTTGAAACATAACATTTTTATCAGTTGTGCTCTCCTGATCTAGATGCAATAAACATAATTTGACGTTTTCCTTTATGGTGTTTTTGTAAACAAGCTAACAGTCAAATAAAAGCATGCCACATCTGTTGCTTTACTCCATCTCCTGCGCTGGCTACCAGATCAGTGAAGGAAATCAAAGTGGTGTGACGTGATTCACACTTGACAGACCTGCTCTTCACTTTTCATCAGTTTATTATCTTACACATATTCTTAAACCAAATAATAATTTGTTCAACGTTGTTTCCCTGGACAATAGATAAGGTGATTGCTTTGGATTGCAGATACCTGGGGAGAGAAGTCTTGCTTGCTTTTTTCCCATCATCTCAACCTCAGTGAACACATGAAGATAACTGATAGGCTGAGTTCTTTCTGTGTGATTTTTCTTAAATAACTTAAGATGAAAGAACTAAGGCTTGAACTGACATTTTGTCTGGAATCTGCAAAGTCTGTTGGTGGTGGGATTACCTTCTCTTTAATGGTATACAAAAACTAATGTAGCCATTCAATTTAAAATTTCATGCTGGGTGGAATGCCATGATCTTTCAAGTCTCTTCGATCTTCTGGATGTATGCAACTGCTTCTCTTTTGCTAGGGCATTATATTATAAAGGAAGTACTGTAAGACTAAAAGGGACTGGAAATTTTATAGAGATATTTCTGGAACCTTAGCTTGTATGTGCTGGCTTTGCAAGATTAACTGGTCTGTTTCCCATGACGCCAACTTGCTCGGGTTTTTTCTTCAGAACTAGAATATGTCTGCAATGTGTCAAATCTTTCTTTTTTATTTTCTGCTTACAGATGATATAATTAAACTGAACAAGAAAGAAGAGAGAAAACAGTATTCCCCCAAAATGAAAAGAAGGCTTCAGCAGAATCGAACTCGACAGTTCAGGACACCAGGCTCCAAGTGGGGAATCCAACAGCAGAAAGGTGTGTATGTCAAACATAATGTGGACTGTGCAGTATTTTTTTTGAGCTGAAATGTAACCTAATTGGTTACAATTCGGGGGGTTGGACTAGATGACCTTTGAAGGTCCCTTCCAAACTATTCTATGATTCTAATGAAAATATGTGGATTGACATGGTCAAATCAGGTGTCTTTCAAATAGTGGCCTATGTAGTTTTGATTATAATTCAGTTCTTTGTGATCCATTTATGTTTGGTTTTGCTTCTGGTTCAGTGTGAGAAAGTCATTGACGTGTTTGGCCAACAGGGAGCTTAGGTGCCTGATGGACTCTATTTGACTCAAGGAAGGATTGGCTTTCTTTCTGATTTTTAAAATTTATTTTAATTTTGGAAATTGTGTTGATACTTTGTCCCTTCTCAGAGATGGATAGAAAGAGTGCTTATGCCAAAGCCTGTATATTAGGAAATGTGGAGGCCTTGCCAGAGTTCAGAGCTTTGTGTAAAAGAGCCAGCATATTTATATTTGCTAGGTAGAATTCTCCTAGTAGGCCTCCCCAAAGTAGCTGTTACTGCAGACTGTAATACTGCCTCTGGGATATACAAATGGATAGTGCAGAGTGTCTGAGTCAGCTTTTCTTGTTAAGACCTTGGGATGCGAAGGAAGCACCATGTCAGCCTTCTTAAGCCAATGTTTTTACAGTGGAATACAAAAGTGGGAAAAAAAATCATATAGGCAGGGAGTGAAGAGAGGAAAAGTGCATAACAGCAGCTTTACTGTAGGTTCCCTGAGTGACTGTCAGTTTTTGTTTGTGGGTTTTTTTTTTTTATAAACAGGAGTCATATTCTAAAATTATTCCCAGGTTTTAGTCCGGTACATGGCCAGCACCTGCCTGAAGTATAGACTGGTTTTGCTTATGTTTAATTTTGAAAAGTACCTTTTTAGCACTGGATTATCAAAATATGAAAAAAATACTGTCTAATCAGAAAACTTACCACCTCAATCCAAGCTAATGAAGTGTTTAAGTTAATACATGCAATTTCTTGTTTAGTAGCATTCATTTAAAACAAGTACACATCTGTCTGGTGTATTCACAGTGATCCCCATTTTATCTTTGTCATTGCTTAATATTTGTTGTAGCAGCAGCTCGTAGTTAGCATCTTAGACACAAATCTCTTTGGGGATCAGTGGAATGTCATGTTGCTCAGGGCTCAGAGGATTTTTGCTTTTTATACAGGCCAACATAGCAATGTTACTTCATTTGTGCATCTTGAGTAAATTGGTGACAGTGCAGGAAAATATTTTACATCATATGGCCCAAGTGTAAGAATATTTGTGTAGGTGAAAGAATAAGTGAATTTAAGTTGTAGATTATCAAACATGTAGGCTTTTATTTATGACTGCAGTTGTGAAATGCAATTGTTTGAAGGGCACAAAAGAAGCAAATATTAGAATTTTAAATTTTAGAAGGAACTTTGAGCTGCAAATATAAAACTCTAAATACAACTGTCTTGGCAGTTACTTTTCTCTCTTGGAACCTTCCCTCCTTGCCTGCCCTTGTTCTAGGAAAAAGCAAACTTCCCCCCCTCCCCGCAAATTTCCAGATTAATGACATGTTGAAACGTTGTGAATAGCTTTAACTGCTCCCTCCTATACAGCTCCACATATTTTCTCCTATTGAAAGCAAACCTCTTTTACATTGTTTTTTGAGCAGAAGGTATCATTAAATAGTTCTTCTGAGCATTCTAGTTATTAGTAGCTTATGACCAATAGATTTATTGCTGCTCCGTTGCCACTGAAGTTATTCTGATGAGTAGCAAATCCTCTGTTGTTTGTGGACAGCTACAGAAACCACAAATAATCGACAGCATTCAATTCCTTGTGGTTTTAGAAGTGGCTGCCAAACTCTCTGGAAAGAAGCGAGGAACTTGAGCTGGGACTCTTTTCAGCTTTTGGGGGGAGAAACAGAGAGAAGAACATTGTTCATTTAAATAAAAGTTGTCCTTGGTGATACACAGAATGCAACTGCACAAAACCCTGTGCAGCCTGAGCTAACTTTGAGGTTGTCATTTATTTGAGCAGAGGTTGGTCCAGAGAGCTCGTGAGGTCCCTTTCAGCCTAAGTAACCCTGTTTCACAGCTTTTCTATTTGAGAAGAGGAGCATTTGCTAACCATCCACAAAATGCGGGTACATAGCAGTTTCGCCTTGGCAAATTTATCTAAAGTGGGTTCTGATCAATGGCTTACCTCCTGTGATGGCTCCTGTCTCGTGAAGAAGCACAGATTTATTATCAATGCTATGAAGTCAGATATGTCAAAGCTGTAGACTGTTGTGTCTGTTGCTGTAGAGCTGACTCCTTAGTCTTAAACTTGTCTTGCAGTCTGAGGTTCTAAAGCGGATGATGCTTGAGGATAAAACTGAAGCATGGTCTGTATTCATAGTGTGAAGCTAAATGGCTCCAGACAGGGTTAACCAAACCCTTGCAACTGGAGATTTCACATGTTTATACTACAGACCTCAGACTTACAAGCCTTTTATATTCAAAGGCTGCTTTCAATTCTCAGTTTCATCCAGACTGCCATGCAGACTTCTAATTGAAAACACTTTAAATGTGATGTAATTCATACGCTGTTTAATATGGTTTTGTGGGCCATTTGCTATATTCTTTTTTTTTTAAGGCATGTCTTGGGAACCACTGATCTAAATAAATAAGCTTTGAAGTTGCTTTTTTTTCTTTTCTTTAAATTAAACTGGTAATTTAAAGTTTGCTGAATGGGTGGGGAGCTGGTTTGGTGGGGTTTTTTTGTTGTTGTTTGGTTTGGTTTTGTATTATTCAGCGCTTGATGAAGTTCCATTTCAGAATATTTTGGTAGTTTTCTATGCCAGAATGACTCTTAAGTTGTCCCTGTAGACATGTCAAATAACAAATTTTCAACAGAAATTAATGCAGTGAACTAGAGCAAAACTGTGATCTATATGAGAAGCTGTTTATTGTTGTGCTAGGGCTTGGGCCAGACCTGCTAAAATAACTGAATGACCAAATTGTCTTCAAGCGTAGTGATAGCTTCTGGTCTAAGGCAAAAAGTGTGCAGCCAAATAACTTGTATTGCCTGCATAGCATCTTAAAGCAATAAGCTTTTTCTTACAGTAAGAATTGTTGAACTCTTCATGCTTGCTACAGGTTATGGTAAAAATCGTTTGGGACGCAGAAAGAAGATAGCAGGGAAGAAGCGTTCTTACGGAGTTATAACTGGCTTGGCAGCCAAGAAAGCAATGGGTTCACGCAAAGGAATTAGTCCTCTAAACAGACAGCCGCTTAGCGAGAAGGTAATTAATGCAATTCTAGTGGTTCATGTAAGAACAGATTAAAAAAATGAAATACGATGGCTTCAGAAGAGTGCTACTGAAATATAAAATGGAGACATCTAGTACAACCTTTTGTTAAATTGGGGATGGGTTAGCTGAGTTCTTGTTTGTTTTGAGGGGGGTGGTTAATGACTAGGTTTGAAAGGGTTTTTTATCACTTAATTGGGTTGCAAGTCATGAAAATTAAAGTACAGAAGTATGTTCTTTGCAAATATGGAGGTAGTTACTGTATTTTTACAAGAAAAGCTCACTTATTAGGATTTCTTGTCTTTGCATTGCTTTGTTACAAACCAATGATTCAGCTGACATGCAGGTGTTAAGCATGTGCCTGTTACAAAAATGGAAGTTTTTGCAAAGTACTTGACTCCATTAGTAGGCTCCCTCTTCCGCTCTCTTCCAGTGCATTGTTGCCTGCCCCATCTCATTCAGTGTTGTAGAACGGGGATTGCTTTTGGATTCGTGAAGAAGAGTAATTTTAAAGATGTGTGGAGCATGTGTTTTGTCAGTTTAGGGAGATACAGTAATCAAAAAGTAACTGCTGAGCTCTGCTTTTTTTTTTTTTTTTTTTGCCTTGTAATGAGGGGAATATAGAATTCACGAAAGTGTAGAAGGTATTTTCAGATTATACTAGATTGTGAAAGGTAGGCAAAGCCAAATGTATTCTATATGCAGTTTGTAAATGGAAGTTGAAGGAAAAGTGTTTGTGTGTATACAGTATATATACGTTTATTGTTTTTTAAGAATGCACAGCGGAATTATCCAGTTTTGAAAAAGAAAACAAACCTGCAGAGACAATCTGAAATGCAGGGAAAACAAGCTCCAGCCCTCAGGAGGCCTGCCCCGCTAAATAGAAGGTAAAACACCAAGTCTGCTTTCTGAACTCTTCTTGACAACTTTCCATAGCGAGTCTTGTTTGACAGGACTGAGTCCAAGAGAAGATGGTAGGTACTGGCTGTAGTAATACAGTCAAGACTATCATGTGTATGAAGTTCTACAAATCTGGAAACCGAGCATGGGACAAATGCGGTCTCGATACAAAGCCCAGATATTTATTACCGTGTAGAGCACTCGGGAAGTACACCTATTTGTGAGCACCTGGTATTCTGCCTTCATTTAAATCATAGGCAGCCTATATGGAAACGGCCAACGTGGATTTCTGTAGCTTTGAAGTGACAGCCATGGTTCAGTGAACTTTCTAAATAAAATGCCTTTGTGGAAGCTGGTGCCATCTTCAGTTTCATGGAAGCTATTGCATGTTTTATTTGTGCTGGAATTAACATGTCCATTACGAACGGCATCTTAACTGGTCTCCGAGATGAAAATTTTTACTATGTGACTCTATTGTGGAAACTAAACAAACTCTCTTTATACATATCAAGACTGCTCCTTTTTTTCATCTAATCAGCAATGTTTAAAGTGCTGAAGGATACTGAGCGAAGTAAAAAGCAGAATTAATAATCATACGGTCCTGTGACGTAGGAGTGCTAGGCTTCTATGTAACAGAAGTGATTTCTCCATTTATGAGTAATGTGTTTTGTTCCTAGTAGATGAGAAGCTTATTGCAACTGAAATGTTCAGCCTCAAAGAGGCAGCATTGCAGATGTCCATAGGGGTGTATTGGGCACTTCCCTGACTTTCATAGTGGTCTCTCTAAGATGTTATCTGTGGAGCCTTTGATAACTATATTTTAATAAATATTACAGGAATAACATGCCATCCACTTTTGCCAGAATTGGAAACAAACTAAATCAGCAGAAAGACACTCGTCAAGCAACCTTCCTGTTTAGAAGGGGCCTGAAGGTAACAAAAATTACTGAAAACAACAACAAAATTGTGCCACAGGTTCTAAGCTAACCTATAATACTGACATTAATGAATCAACTTCACATATCAGATCTGAGTAGAAACTTCAGGTGGACTGGGAAATAGGCACGGGTTCTTCTAGGGAAATGTACTTGTCCTCTTCAGTTACTGTTACCGATTGAGTCTTGCTTCCTGTTCCAGTGTAGCTGGACTGTTCTGAGGGGCCTGGAACTTGTCAGAGTGTTTGAGGGTAGTTGCAAGCTATTCATTTTTCCTTTTAAAAGTCAGTGTTAGAAAGCACTGTGCCCCTTTCAAAAGTTGCCTTCGGGTGAAGGATAGAGCAGAAACGTTTTAAAAACTGATTATGTTTGGTGTTTTTTTAGTTATTTTGGGGTTATTTATTTTAGTTATTATTTTAGTTACTTAAGGATTTTTTAGTTATTTTGAGTAAAATCAAGAGAATAGAGGGTGTGCAGTGAACGATAGTGGTGTTCTTGGCTTTCATTTGTGCCCTTATTCTACATCTGCCATCGTTGTGACTGTAGGTAGCTGCTGTCTTCCATCCACATGGATTGCAGAATTAGAGACAGGTTCAGGAGGAAGAAAAACAAAACCAAAGTCCTTTAAAACAGCAGCGGGAGTTAGTGGCATATTGGATATTATGTACGTTAATATTGATCAGATTAGGAACTAGCCAGGTTTTTCTTGCAGGCCTGGTACATTTTGGTGTATCTTGGTAAAGTGTATGTTTGCTGACATAGTCCTTAAAAATGTTTCCATCTCTTTATTGGTTAAGTTACTGTCATTGACAACTTTGTTTAAATCATTTTGTGTTCTTAAAGTAATTTCTTTCCAATATCTTACAAAAGTAATAGGATAGTTATCTTTGAAGTCCCTCTGAAAGTACAACCCTGTTTGTGCAGTGTACAAACAGCTTTAAACTTCTGTTTTTTGAACTGCTGTATTTCCAGCTGCTATAATGGGAATTGAAACAGTATTCAAATCCAGTGTCTGTATTGATGTGTTTTCAGGTGCAGGCCCAAGTGCAGTCAACCGATGATCTTGATAATCAGACAATAAAGAGAACTCGTCAGTAAGTATTTAATTTGGAAAACTTGACTTTGGTTACTCGTATGATTCTTGTTTTAGTTCTGGCTTGCTGGCTAAGATTATTGAATGGTTTGGATTTTTTCCCTGTAGGCATATCAGCTGAGTGACAGTGATCTTCCCCCTACTCTCAGTTATTTCCTAAATTATCTTCTAATTTAATCAGGAGCAGTTTGTTTGCATAAGACGCTTGCAGGAATGAGGGGGAAGATGGTAGCTTCAGAGAATCAGACTAATCTCTACCACTCATGAATACTGCATAGACTGGAAGAAAAATTCAAATGTCTATGTTCTCCTGAGCTCTTGATGTAATTTCCATTTTATTTAATATACATATAAGCCTATGAAGCAGTTTGGAAATAAGCAAGGCAGGTCACAAGGTGGACACTCAGCTTTCCCCCCGTGTATTCTTCCCATATCATTCTGTATCTGCTAGGCTCTTTGCAGCGCTTGTTTGTTGGTAACACAACAGGCTGAGTAAGCAGCATATGCCGCAGACAGGCAGTCTGTCACCTCTTTGATTTGCTGTGAGGACCATTTTGGCCCCATGTGTGGCAAGGAGACTGAATGTTTTAAAAAAGTGAACATTTCAGTCGGTGCTATAGTTCTGGTACACCTTGCCAGCCTATGATCTAGCGCTCACCTGAATAGGTTTAGATAATCTAAAAGATACAAGAATCAATGGCCAAGCTTCTTGTAGATTGTTTGACTGCATGTGGTCTTTGTACTGACCTATATTCCGAAAGCTTGTACATTCTTTACTAGTCAGTGTTTTGGACACACATTTAAAGATACTCTGACTGAAATTTCTGCGATGTCTTTGTAAGTGATTTCTGTGTTTTCAAACTAGATGGCGAACTTCTACCACGAGTGGAGGGATTCTGACTGTATCCATTGACAACCCAGGAGCAATCATAAGCCCAATGTGAGTTTGCAAAAAAGTTCTGAAATGTTCTTAACATAGCTGAAATCGCTGTACTGAGCCATTTAGCATGTTCCTTGCAGATAGCATTTTAGGTGACCTCAAGGTCACAGCTTCTTGTGAAGATTTTTAAATCTGTCCCTTTCTGAGTGTTTCTAAGCTATGTTTGAATAATATCACAGCTGAATTTCTTAAGACATCTCCCAGTTAGGAGCTTGATGTGGTGTTTGGAGTTGAAGAGTGGTGGGCTGGTAGATTTTCACCTTGTCTGCCTCTTCCAAATCAGACCATATTGCAGCTGTTTTCCTCCCCTATCTGAATAAAAATGAATGAGCATCTAGTTGATGAGTGATGGTAATAGTTCCTCCCTGATTCATAAAGATACTGCTGGAGTTGTGCTTAAGAAAGCATTGCTGTATTTATCTTTGGGAAGTTGATGGTACTGTTGTTTCATGAGGTGTTTTATTTTAAAAATCTCTTGAGTAGCTTTTTTCATTAGTATCTGTAAGGAAGACTGTACCAATTTTATTTTTTGTATTTATGGGCATAATTAACCGCAAATTATGCATTTGTCAGTAGGATTGAGAGATAAAAGATAAGATCGCTTCCTGTTGGGACACTTGCTGTCTGATAACAATAACAAATGCTACCCTTTTATAGTTCTGCCTGACTTTTACCTTGTTGAATTTGTGCCCTCCAGCTATTCAGCCAGCCTGATCAAATGGCTTGATGAAAAATTCATACCTCTATCAGCATTAAGGCTTTATTGCATAAAATACATATTCACTGTGTCCTTTGTAACATTCTTCTTTCACAGTTCCCAGAAATTACGATTAACTTGTACTCCGGTGCCACCATTTCTGATGAAGAGGGACCAATCTGAAGAGAAGAAGATTCCCAAAGGGGTTCCGTTGCAGTTTGATATTAATAGCGTGGGAAAACAGGTAAATGCAGTTTTTTTCCTTAACTGTGGAAATAGTTTCAAGACAGATAAAAGTCAATGAGCCAGGCACTTTCCTCCTAGACTCACTAGTGACAGAAAGAGGGAACTAGTGACAACTTCTCGTTTCCACTTCCAGTTCTTCCACTAACTTGCTATGTAACTTCAAGCAAGTAACTAAACTCACTGTTCCTGTTCCTCTAGTTCATGTCTTGCACGCCCACATGCTTTAAATGGGATTTAAAATGTTGAGTATTTCTAAAAGCCTTCTGGTGTTCCTGCTGTGCTTGAATCAGCAACTGTGCATAATTCAGGGATGAGCTTCTTTCAGTTGTGTAACCTGCGTGGAACCCTGACAGTTGAATTTATAAGGCAACTTTTGCTATGCATCTAGGAAAAAAAAAATCAAATGTGATGACATAAAGGCTTGAAAGATGAGCAATTTTCACAAGTTTCATGAAGACAGGCTATGTGGTGCAGGAATCTTAGCACTGTCATTGAAGGAATTCTTACAGGGTGACAGAGTTAGATGCTGTTCTTGTAATCAGCTCCTTACTGTCAGCTGTAGAAAACTACATGGGATCAGTGCGTCGGTCTGGATTTGTTCCTTCCATGAATAAGCAGTATGTCAAAAATAGTCTACTACTATATTGTAAAATTAATGGAACTTTTGGACTCCAGTCTACTGCCTCAACTGGATGGACTGGAAAGCAACCTGCATTAACATGGTTAAAATGCTGCATTTGTTGAAGTTGCATAGAATCTGTGTGGGGAAATGAGTGTAGTGAAAGTTCCCTTTTTCACTCTGTCTGTCCTCAGTTTAACTTACAATGTTTTGAGTAGACTTTCAGTCTTGACATTGTGTACCATGTGTTCTTAATGAATTCTGAGAACTGCTAGCTCTTGATGTATAGTCCAATCTGATTTTTAAATGGTGTGGGAAACGATGAAATCAAATTAAACCTCTTTTTTTTTTTTTAATCTAAGTGAGGCAATTAAGAAGTCAAGTGATGATACAGAATGAGGAAAAAATTATTCTTGTCTCCATTACTTTCATTAAATTAACCTAGCCTCTTTTACATTTGTGGTGAAATGACTTTATTTTTCAGACAGGGATGACGTTGAACGAGCGATTTGGGATCCTGAAGGAACAAAGAACAGCGCTGTCTCAGAACAAAGGAAGCCGTTTTGTAACAGTGGGCTAACCTGACAGATGGACTTGAGCACTGATCCCGCCTACCTAAGAAACTGAGATAAATGTGGGCAGAAGAATACAACATACGTCACTGAAATTCTCCAGACTTCTTGCTAAGATGGTGGCAGAGCTATCTATCTTTATTACTTTTACTTTGAATGGTAAAAGACATGATGCCCTGAGGGGGGGAAAGTGGGGAAGCTGATCTGCTGGAGTGGCACCATCACCTGGTTGGAAAAGATTCTGTTGCCCAGCTGATGACAAACACTGATTTTGGTTCATCTTGCAACCAAAACACAAACACAAATTTTAAAAGTTGTTTTTTTTTGTCTAGGAGTGCTCAGTATCTGTTCTTTGACCCCTCTGTTATGGTAAAGACTGCGTAAGTGTTTCATAACAAACCCCATTTTAGGGTTTTTTAGGGACTGCCTATGAACTTTCCTTTGGACTGCAGTTTGGCACAGAGCCTCAGTCCATGAGTACTTTGGTAGTGATGTAGCGGCATTTTTCATGGGAGCATTGGTTGTACTTCTTTGTGCTTTTGAAGTTCAATTTTTTTCCTTTCTTGAAAACTAAATGTTTTGCATCCTCACTTTCACAAATAAAGCTGTTAGCTGAGACCCAAAATATGTAATTGGGATGGAGACTATTCTACTCTTATCCTTAAAAGTGGTCCAGATCATATTGGAGGAATACTGCACAGGCAGCATAAGAGTAATTTATATTACAAATAGTTCAAGTTCATCATCCTCCTCTGTCAATGGAGTATGTCTGTCTCCTATTTTTTCTTAAACTTTTGCTTTCTATTTCTTTTTGTAAGTTTTTTCACAAACGTAATGCAATAACTTCACATTTTTGAATAATTTCGTAGGAATAAATACAACAGTTCACAAGAAAGTCAGTGGTATGGCAGAGTTCTGGTTTATCCTCCCAGACATAGGATTCTCATCTTGCATACCTTGCCCCAGAGGGTTTTCTCTGGTTCTTACAAATAGCCAGAGGCAAGCAATCTAATGGCACTTGTTTGCATATACCAAAGAAAGGTAAGATGTGAAGCTGATCAAAAGTGGTCAGACATCTTGAAATTGGCTGAAACTGGGGAACATTGCTGTGGGAAAGCCCTCAGTTTGCCAGCATGTGTAAGGCATTAAGCAGGAGCATGTAGTCACTTGCTTTAAGCTTAGCTTTGTGCATCAGAGTCTGCAGGATGGTAACAACCGGGGCATCCTCAATCTGAATTTATATGATCCGTACAACTGAGGCACCTGTTCAGAATTGCTTCCAGACCAGGAACTGATGAATTTAACACTGTTCTATAGCAATGAGATTTAGGTACAGTCAGGTAAAAGAATGATTGGCTGGCTGCATCCAGAAATGTTTATGGTGTTTGAAGTGGGTTTAATTCCTTTTATTGTTCTTGAAGAATTTACATTTAACTTCTTACAGAGTTGGCTTCCTTGCATTTTTATCTCGAATTCCAAGTTAACTAGCGTTTACCAGGAACTTCAATGTTGAAGAGCATTTGACAGTAGAAGGGCTTTTGTTTGTATAGCAGTTTTAAAGTCAGAGTGCATCCTGATGCTATATAGTACTTAAACCCTTATTTTTAGTGTTGAAAAATATACCTTAGCAGAAGCAAACTAAACGTATAATGGTGTTAAGGTTTTTTTCTTAATTACTAGTAGGAATTTTTTTTTTAAATGTCCCACTGTTAGAATTTGAGTAGACAAAGTGTTGTCAGTCATCCTGTTTCAGTGTATACATTTTCCATGTGCCAGGATGCAACAAAAAAATTCTTTTGCATCAACATAGATGCAAAACATTGATGCAATGCATCAAAAAATGCTAGTTTGTATTTAATGAGAAGATGCTTTACACTGTACCTTTTGGTATTTTTTGGAGAAGTTATTACATTTGATCTATTCTGAAGCTGTTAATTTTTTTTTTAAATAAAAAGTTACAGGTTTCATACTGTCTTGTTCCTGTTATAACCACCTAGGCAACGTATTGGTTATGTGAATTTTCTGATATCTTTCAAGGGATATCATAGTACCAGATTATAGTACCAGATCCCTTAATCTGTCAGCCCAAGCACTGGTTTTCATGTTGCTGTGACATGTCTTGCTAGCAAGAAGTCGCTGTAATCTAAACCTTGTATTATGGGATCAGCGTGAACACCCTGATAAACGACCACAGTCCTGTTTTCCAGTGCGATGCCAGCAGGAGGCTTGCATAAGTGGAAGTGCTGCTGTTGGTGCTGCAGGAAAAAAATACTGCCTGTAAGTATATTTCATAAGGTGTTGAGTATGGTGAGTGCCTTGGCACCTGGCTATCTGCAGTCTCTGTTCTTCATTACCAGCTCAAGTCTGTACGGTTGCCAGCTCCAGGCAGTGTTCAGACACGCCAACAGTTCCAGCGTAAGCAGCGTAAGAGCAAGGCTGGCTTTTATTTGGACATTGCAAATCCTTTTAAGGATTGATGACATCAAGGAAAAAAACATGAAGCAGCTGGTACTTTTCGCACCTACTTCAGATGCGTGCGCCTTCTCCTTTCTTTGCTGCTGGAATGGGTCTGAGGACGCAGCCAGCGGCGCTG